GCTATATATAAAATAATTTGAGTATATATAATAAAAAGAATATTTAGAATTATTATATAAATTAATAATATTTCTATATTATTGCAAAATAATTTTATAATAAAAAATAAGTTTTAATTAGATTAAAATCAGAGTAAATAAGAAATTAAAAATTCAATATATACTACACTATTAAAAATATCTAGTCAATCAATTTAAAAATATATTTTATTATAAATATTATAAATTTTTAATATTTATTTGGCTATCTTTAACTTTCAATATATGCTTCTATCTGATATGATATATTTTTAATTAAATTAATATAAGTTTTAAATCAAGTTTATATAAATCTTTTAGATATTTCAATCATTTTTGAAGTCTTTGTTCTAATTTATGCTACAAATGTTTAATAGAATTAAGATCTGAAGCTTAAGAAGACCAATCTGAAAAATTCTTAATCTTTTTCTATATAATTTAATTTTTGACATTCTTTGCGATATAAACATATACTTCAATAGCATAGTAAGAAAGTTAAAAATTATCACTATACAATTTGATCATTGTTTTTATTTTTATTGCTAAATTTAGTATATATGTCATAATAAAAACAAATAAACAAATTTTAATTGTCAAAACTGAAGCATTTATTTTAGAAAAAATTTATATTAATATATTAATTTCGAAAAAATTAAAAAGAGCTTGACAGATACTTTTAATAAGGTAATAATATATTTACTAAAGATTTAATATATACTATAAAAATAATATTATGATAAATTCAAATATAAAAATATTATTTTCAGTAAAATATAATTTATTTGTAACATTTAATATAAAAGAATAAATACTATTTTTAAGATAACAAATTCTTTAAACCTTTCTTTTGTGCAACTACTTTTATTATATTTATAGTAATAATACTTTGTAAAAATAAAGTAAATAATATAGTATATAATTTTTAGTTACAAAAGTATTTTTAAAGAAATATTTATATCTATGAGACAAAGTATACTTATCTTTAGTTTTATCTATAATTAAAATTTTGATTTATATAATGAATATAATCTTAATCACTAAGTGATAAAATTGAATGGAATCAAATTAATCTACAGACCTCTGCCAAAAGTTTCTGAACGCTTTTTGGCTCAATGTAAAACTTAAAATTTTAAAGTTTATTAAAAATTTTATTAATTTATTTATTAATGTACGATATGCTACACATTTGATACTAAATAATTAGTACTTAGTCAGGCCTTTATTTGCTTCATCACAGCCTAAATTTTCTGCGACAAATCGCTTCAGCCAGCTTCGCTGCAAATCTTTAATTAAGGATGGTCGATCAGAATGAAGCCTCAAATTAACAGTTCCAGTGTTATCCATTCTTTTTAAAGTTCTAAATGCTATTAAAAATTCACAACTAATATTTGCGGCAATAACCTGATAACTATTACCATATTGATGGCAAAATATATACCGCCGCGTTGTTCTTTGAACATTTTCATGGTTTTCGGAAGGTAAATTTTATTTTAGTTAAAAATCAAAATAAACAAACCAAACACGCTTTTATTTGGTTTTGATTCAAGCAAACAAGGTCAGGTACATTACATGACCGCAGTATTATACAGTCATATGATATATTTGGTATGAAATAGCCAAAAGATGACATTCAGAAACTTTTGGCGGGGGTCTGTACTATAGTATTATTAAGTCACTATTATAGCATTACGCTAGATTCTTAAATTACATACCTAAAAGATCAGCTAAAATTATAGTATAATGCTAGCTGAAATTAATCACAAATCTACTGTGTTATCTAACACAATATTTTTTACCACAATTTGACATTTTAACAGGCAATTAAACAAGTACAAAGGGTAAGCACCTCAATATAGAATTTAGTATCCAATCAAATGTGAAAGGCCAGTACCTTTATTATAGAATCAAGTATTTAAAAAAAATTAAAAAGCTAATACTAACAATATAGAATTTATCATGTAAATAGATTAGGAATAAGAAGAAAGCAATCACTATTAAATTATGATATTACCATTAAATTAAAGTATTACCATTCACCATTAGACTATGAAGTTGCTACTATATTATACAGAAACTATTAAAAGAATATTATAAACGTAAAGGAGATACTCATAAGTAGGTTATAAAGTCACTATCAGATTATAGATAATAGATTATGAAGTTATCGTCAGATCATATAATTAGATTATAATATCATTATTATATTATGAAGTTATGAATAGGCTATGAAGTTACCATTGTATTATGAAGTTATCAGCAGACTATGAAGTTATCATTATATTATGAATTAATGTATTATTTGAGTTTATTTTTGATATATAAGAATATTTATATAAATAAGCTTAATTTTTTAACTTTTTAAAAGATAATTTCAATCATTTTCAAATTTTCTCTTTTTACTTTTCACTAAATCCTGAAAAAAAAATCGTTGCAAAATCAAAAAGATCTTAAGTTAAATTTTAGTTAATTTTTACCTCCAACTATCAAAATCAGATAAATAAAAGCTGTATTTTAGTTAACTTTTTAAAAATAAACTAATTTTTTACTTTTTATAATAAAAATATACCTCTAACCATTAAAATTAGACGAAACTTAAATTGAATTTTAGTTAATTTTTCTGATTTTTTTTGCTTTTTATAATAGAAATATATCTCAAACTATACATGAAACTGAAATAATTAAGTTAAAGTTGAAATATTTTTTAAAAAAACTATAGTCAAAATATAAGTTGAAATTAATTACAAAGATCAAAATTAATTACAAAAGTTAAAATTGATTATAAGGGTCAAAATTGATCACGAAAGTTAAAATTGATTACAAGGGTCAAAATTGATCACAATGGTCAAAATTGATGATTTGATTAGAGTAACGTGATTGATATGTCAAGTTGCCAATTGATCAATTTTTTAAATTTTTTAATTCATTTTTTTACTTATTTTGACCTGACTTGAAATCTTGGCATTACAGAAAAAGTAAGTAAATAGGGGTTTTAAACATTTTAAAGAAATGTTATAAATAGTTTTTTTTATTTTCTTTATTTGTAAAGATGCCTACTTTTTGAATCTTAACAAAATCATTATAGACATAAGGTGAGTAAATGGGGTTTTTTGATTTTATCTAATTTAAGAAAATATTTCTTTTTTTATTTTTTCTATTTATAGAGACACTAAACTACTTGGATGACTAAACTAGAATGTTATAAGTTTTTTTTTGTTTATTTAAAAGAGAAACTTTTCTAATGTTTCTTTCTTATTTTTTGTAGGTATATCAGACAAATTTACTAATCAGACTTTAAGTGAGTATAAACAGTAGGGTTTTTTTGTTTTTTTTTTCTTTATTTAAAAATGTATTGACATTTCTTTTTCTTCTATTTTGTAGGGTAGCGCCTTTTAAAGATTTGGATAAATTGGGAGTGAGTATATTTTTTTCTTTAAGAAACGTTTTTAAGTTTCTTTTATTTTTGTAAAAATACTAGCTTGAACAGTTAAGCTTTAAATATGATTAGATATATACAAAAATTCGAAAGAGGTGATTTTTTTTATTTCAAATAAAATTTCTAACTTTTTTTTATTTATTTATAGAATGTTTGATTCTTTAGTCAAAGGATTTCGCCATAGTTTTAACATTACATAATTGGCAAAATATTTTATTAACGTTTCAACTATTACTAATTAGAGTTTCAATATTTTGTGAAATTTCAATTAGGTTTCAGTTAATCAGAATAAAAATTGTTACGAAAAGGTTCAAAGGAAAGAAGAGACAAAGATGTTAATTTATTTTTATTTTTTAATTTAATTTTTTTTAATATATATAATATCATTATGCTTTTTTTATAAACACATTTATATAAATTTTTATAATAATAAATTAATTTTTAAAATAATTCAATATATCAAAACATACAAAATAAAACAATATTTTTTCTATTATACAGATACTTGTTTTATACTAATTTATATGCTATTTTACTTATTAAAATTAGCATTTAATAATGCATCACTATTATAATTCTTTTCTTTGTGATCATAATTAGTTATTTTCTGTTCAATAACTACTCTTACTTCTACTTCTAATGCTTTTTGCAAATTTTGGTTATCAAAATTAAAATAATTTTCCATTACTGACTTGCTACCATATTTAAGAATTTCTTCATTATCTATGGTAAGATTATCATCTCTATCATCTCCATCAATTATATTTAATTCTTCTTCTTATTCTTGAATTTCGTCATCAGAAAATTCTACAATATCATTAAAACTTTTACTAACTGCTTTATAAAATTCATCATCAGTAAGATCTGAATAAATATAACTTATTTTAGAGAAAGCATTACTGACATAATAAGTATGTAGCTTTGTCATTGCTTGCATTTATTCAATTAATAATCTGTAATTAGGTATTTATATAAATTAAGACGATAATAAAAAATATATAAAGGATGGAAATAATAAAAATTCAAAATAATATCTTGTTCAGCATTTTGAATACATCCAACCTAAAACAGAAAATATTCTTTCACAACCAGCATTATATAATGCTATAGAACAAATTTTTAATGCTAGTTGTTAGATCTAATTTTCTTCCTGTTAGATCATTTTCCACCAAGTCAATACACTATACATTCTATGTACAAATTTGAATTTATATGGGCTTTGATAATTATTATATGCAAATATTTATCCTATTAATTTATCAGCTGAATTTGAACTACCTATAGGTCTCCATAATTCAAGTACAATATGACATATTTGTTGAAAAATATCATTTTTAAATTCTTTTCCTAAAATAGCAATAATATATTATTAAATAATTATATAAAAATTATTTTATAATTTACATACCTCTATATAGCAAATGTAAAAAATATGCCAGCATATATATTTTAAAATCAAATTGACATCATTGTTTATTGAATTTTTTTAAGCAGTAAGTATAAAAATTAGAATTTGTTATTGTTGGATAAATTTTAACAGCAATAGAAAGTTTTATTAATTGAATAAAACAGTCTGTCAAGGTACTAGTTTTAAATTCTAAGGAAGTTATAATTTCTTTAATTAGCTGAATAACTTTAATAAATTCTTTAATATCTTAAAAGAAAAAGTAATTTTACAGTAAAGTTTTTATTTCATCATTAAGAATTTCTGAATTACTTTCAACAAGCTTTTAAAATATTAAATTATTAATATGTTAAAACTTAAAATACAACAATAATAAATACTAGTAAATTATATAATCTTATATTATGTAAGAAACGCTTACATTTTTGAATAAACGCAAGACAATCTCAAGCCATTGTTTATCTAGTTTTATAATATCCCTTTAATCCTTCACCTTTAATAAAAGTATTTTCTAATTTTTGAGATAATATTGCTCTGTCTTGATGTGATTTTTGAAAAAATTTAATAATTTTTATACATTTTATTATAATATCTTTTGAATATTTATACTTTATAATATCAGTAATTAACAGATTAATATGATGAGCAATATAACAAATGAAGATTATATAATTATATTTTGCATTTACAAGATTTTTTGCTTAACCATTGTTGATGTATTATCTGATACGATTGAAGTAATTTTCATTACTCTAACGTTATTAATAACTTCTAAAATTTTTTCAGATATATATTTTGCATATGCTTATATAAAGATAAATTTTGTAAAGAATGTATGTATTTTTTTCCTTCTGGTAAAATCAAAATAAAAGCATATACTGGTGCTTTAGTTGAACTAGTCCATCCATCTAAACCTGAAATTTTAAAAATATTAGTTTTATTAAAATAAATAATTCAAAAAAAAAACTTTTATACCTATCGTTATATGGGCTCTTTGCAATAGAAAGGGAGTAAACTACTAAAAAAAATTTTTTTAAGTTAACATTAAATCTGGACTTATTTTGTTAAAAAAAAATAATATTTAGCTTATAAAGTAAAAAAAAAATTTTTTGGTAGTTTTCTCCCTTTCTATTGCAAAGAACCTATATTATCTGATTCTCTAATAATATCTGATGTTATACTTATAATCTGAGCTAACTTTTGATTAATCCAAGAATTAGCAAATGTAATTCGATTTGGAAGTTGATATGATGAACACAAACATTTTACAAAGTTAATAAAAAATAGACTCATTACAATCTTAAATGAAATGCTACAATATATGAAAAATCTAATAAAAGCTCAATTGCATCATTATTCTTTAACCTTATCAACAGTAGAACTTTTAAATTTTGTTGTTATTTTTGGTTGTATTAGTGATAATTTTCTTTTTTTTTTAGTATTAACTTCTTAGTCAAAATCAATTCATCAACAATTCTTTTTCAGATTTCAACACTAATTTTATTAGTTTTACAGAAACTTGATATAAAGCTGATCAAACTTTTCGCAATTTATCTAATTCTATTTATACTTCTTATTGGAGTAACAACATCAATCCTTACACTGGTATTGGTATTCTTATTAAAAAATCTTAGGTAATCTATATTCAAAAAGCATTTTTAAATCATGATAGATTTATTTACGTTAATTTTTACTTAGCAGACAACGTAAAGCTTAGAATATTTTGTATATACTTACATGCTTTTACTGAGACATAAATCAAGAAAGAAAGAATCAAACTATATAAAAAAATTATTAATCACGTCAAAGAAGGACTAAAGTTTGACTTCAAAACTATAATTTTAGGTAACTTTAATACTAATCTAGATATATATTAGTCACTTGTACGTAATGGAAAATTGATTTATTAGTAAATAAAATTCTACCAAAAACTCTTTGCCCTGAATTTTCTCGACCTTTATGATATATGTCATGATACATTCTAACTAATATATAATTCAAAATCCTATAGTTTTCAAATCAATACTATTTTTGCTTCACCCAATATCACCTCAAAATTTTTATTTTCTTACATTGACACTTCTGATCTTTATTCTTCAGACCACAAAATCATTTTTGCTTCTTTCTCTGATTTTCACAAACAGCAATCTGTCAGATCTTATAATTTACAAAACAAAGGCAGATTTCTAACATAAAAGCAATAAATGATGCTAAATAAACTGAATTTATTGCGTACATTAACCTTCATTATAGCTATCACAATTTTGATTATTTTAATAGTCTCTTCAGTAATAAAACTAATATAAACATCCTATAGATCTAAATAAAGATTGCTATTTTTGCAGCAAATTGCAGTTGTTTTCCTCAAATTTGGATCTCTTCTCAACAACATCACAAATATCTTTTTGAACAACTTGACTCTTTTATTAGCATCTGTAAAGTTGCTTCTTTTTTATTGAAATTTAAAAATACTTTCATTCAACAACAAATCTAGCCTAATGTTACTGACTGGTAAGCTATCAAATCAGTTGTAAAAAAATTAGTCCTAGTGGCTAAACTTCCTACTGCTACCCTTCCTCTTCTTTAGATGTTTCTAATGTCCGTAACATTAAGAAACAGCTCAAGGACATTTACTAATCACTTTCTGCTCTTGCTCAAATTAATGTTCAATGTATTAAAGAAAAAGCCATCAAAACCTTCATAGACAAAAAATGTGACAATCTTCAAAACGACCCTTCTAAAATAAATGATTCAATTTTAAATAGAAAAAAATGTTCTATCGTATTAGATCGCTTACTTATCAAGGATAGAAATACTTTACAAATCATTTCACAATCGATTCAGATGATATTAAAGACGCTACTATCAATTACTTTCAAAACTTCACTTTTCCCTCCTCACCTATGCTACCAATGTCTTCCAGATAGATTGACTAATTCAATTCTAGAGATTACGTAAATGAATTATATTACTCAAATTTAATGCAACTATCTACATATGATGAATAGATTGCTATTTTCAAATCACTTTCTAATAATAAAGCTGCTGGTCCTTCAGGAATTTCCAATAAAATGCTTTCTTATCTAGGTGATAAACTTTAACAATTACTCTGAAAACTCATCTATATATGTTTCACTTTAGGTGATATTTCAAACGAATGAAAAATCATCAATATCTATCCTATCCTAAAGTCTATGAATTGGGAATATGATATAATAAAGACTAGACCTATCACCTTATTGAAAACTTTTCAAAAAGGCTTTGTTAAGATTATTACCAACAGACTCTTCACAATACTTACTAAACACAATATATTATGAGGTAAAAATTTTGCTGGTCTACCTGATGGATTAACTGAAGTATTTATCAAAATTGTTAATATGTTGCTCGAAGATGCAATCGAAAATAAAAAAAGAAATTTGGATTTATTTCAAGATCTCTCTAAAGCCTATGACAGAGTAGACTTAAAATTTCTTCGTCTGACTCTCAACCGCATCAAAGTTCTACAATCTGCTATTGATCTTTTAATTAACCTTTTCACTACAAGAAAAAATGCTATTTTTACAGCACACAGAACTTCAGACTACTACAATGTAAAAATTGGTATTGATCAAGGAGAATTTATATCACCCTTACTTTGGTGCATCTATTTAGATCCTCTCTTTTGTAAAATTGCCTCACTAAACAAAGGATATATTATCAATCACACTTGAACCTCTGACTTAACTACTATAGCTACCAGTTCTCTGTCTGCTAGTGTTTCTTCACTCATCTTTATGGACGATACTAACTGGATTGCCAGTTCAAAATAAGATTTGAAATCTATTCTTAAAGTTACTGAAGAATTCTATGATCTTACTAGATCAGCACTTAATAAAGACAAATCTAAACTATTGACGACTAAATCTTCAAATACTACAACAATTTCTCTTAAATTTGATTTATTCACAATCAATATTGAATTAAAAACTAGATCTGTATGCTTTATTGGAGTCTAGATCAATAGTAAACACATATTAACTTTCATTAAAAAACAACTTCTTTGATATCAATCGCTTTGTTTCTTTGATATGTTTCAAACCCTTAACTGATAAACAGATTGCTTACATTATAAATATGGTATTTTGTCTACTATTAGAATATTATATGCAACTAATACCCTTATCGTAACAAGAATGTCTTTCACTTTTTGCACCTATTCATTCTCTATTCAAGAAAAAGAACAAATTTGCCTCTACCCTCCCTAATGTCTTTTTGAACTTCAAATAATTCTATAATTTAAATAATTTCTAGTTATTACAAATCAAATCTCTTTCTACTGCTATTCTATACCAGTTTACTAATTCTACTGTTTATAAGAATATCTTTACTATATGACTTTTTCAACTCCAATCTCAACATTCTCTTAGCACCTCTCCCCTTGATTTTTGGTCTCGTCTATTCAATAAACTTTCTTATAAAAATCTAATTAGTGTTTCTTATTCACTTGTCAAGTTTACTTTCTCTAAATTTTCACTTATTGC